GAGAGGGCACAGTGGGTAATCTGTAAGTAAGAGGCCATAATCTACTTAGTACTACTACACAAGCTGGTGAAAAACTCTAGATTAACTATTGTTCTTTGCTAGCACCGAGAGGTGGTAAAGAATATGAAAGCTCTTGTTTGGCACAATACATCATTTTATCCTTTTTGTCATTCAAATCCTACATAGATTAACATCTCTTTGCAAGGGGAAAGATCTTTTTATAACATTCAAACTCATTTTTATACTTTATTAGTTTTTTAACTTTATTAAACTTTTATATTTAGTTGCTACTTCCTGTTTAAATTAAGTATTAAACTGTTGCCAACATTTCAATATTATCTCCTACAATATTTATCTACAATTTAGATAGAGTTTTGCAAGCCAATATTAAAAGTTTTTGCTTTTCTCGTGGGATCAATACTAGAGTTTTTAAAGAAAATCCTATATTACTTGAAACAATATGTATGCTTGCGTAGTACCCCTAATGTGAAAACTTATTATTTATCCAAATAATTTCATTTATTCACACTAGTCATTAAATATAATTTGGGCCAACTTTTTGACAAATTTAAGAAATATAAATACTAACGCAGTTGCGGGTCAGGTCATTGGTATATCTAGACAGAAAGGAATAGTAGAAAACACCAAGGAGATATTAAGTTGAATGTTGATGAGAGTTACAATGGAACCTCTACATGAAATGGTGGTCTTTTCAGAAAGAATGATGAGAAATCATCTTATATTTGTTGTGCCTAGCTATATTATAAATGATGAATATTCTGTGATGACTGATGAGCAGAATGGGCTGTTAATTTCTAATGAGATTATGATAAAAAATTTAATTTTGGATATGGACTCATTAAAAACTTATAAATGTTGCATTGATGTTACTCAATGTCAATGACAAAACTTGCACTTTATTGAATTTATCTCCATTTTTTTATTAATGATTCCAAACTCTCTTATAATAGTTGATTGTTAGATTTATAAGAACTTCTTACACATAAATTTGCTTCCTTGTGCTTTGGTACTAATTTGATATGCAAACTTTTGAATGTGTGTGTGAAATATGAGGCCACTTTAATTAACATTCCACATTTGTGCCTTATTGAGATGTTTATATTCATAATTGTTACAAATGTCCATTTTTGCATGAACAGACCCTCGTAATTGGAGAAATTTATCGAAGATGCTTTTAATAACGAGAATAAATACGGACTAGAAACATTTGAAATCCTTGTTGTTCTCATTTTATCTCCATGCTTTCATGACATTTTTAAGTCCCAAAAAATAATCGTTAATAGAGCTTGTTGACTTGGAGATACCATGATAAATATTATTTATAGACTCAATTAATTGTATTGATAAGATTCACATTTTAAATATTTCTTTATTAAAGGTTGTTGATCACTTATGTCTAATGCTATACAAATCATCTAGCCAAATGTTGCCGTGTAGATTTTCTTTCTCAATCATGACAGACCAAATTTGTTCAAACTCCTTTTCAGAGTCACATTTACTCATGCATATGTAGAAAAGGTCTTTAACTATCTTATTACTCACCCCACAATGGACCTTCGAAGAAAATTTCTTGTAGATATGCCACTGGCAAAATCTATGTTTTGTATGTGACAGAGAATCTTCTATAGATCTTGTCATTGCTTGATCCTGATCAGTAAAGATTGTTATTGGATGCTTGTCATCCATGATACGAATAAATGTTTTGAATAACCATTTAAATAAGCCAATTGTCTCATGTGACAAAAAAAAACTTTGAATAGAGCATTTTGTCAGTAGTGGTTTACACAAACAAAAAAATCACACAACATAGATTATATTTATTCAGTCTACAACCTATATCAAAATTAATTACATCCCAAAGCAATCATTATCAAGTCTGGATGTGTCATCACTCCAAAAAATCTCATCAACTTACCACTCTCATCAATTTGGAAATCCCACGCAAACATATTATCCTCAATCTGTCTCTCCGTGAACAATTGTAATAGAGAATTAGCTTCACCATTTTCATTTGTGGATCTTCTCCCTTTTTAAATGAAATTTAAGGCATCTTTCTTCATACATGAAAGATTCTCTACTCCTCAGACTTCTGCAGCAAGATTTTTAAATGCATCTATAGCTCTTATCGTTGATTCTGCATCAATCCGAGCACATTTACATTTATTTCACTTTTCTTTCTATTGGAACATAGAGATGCTTATCACCAGAGTTCACTAAGAAGTGGTTATGAGTGTCTATAGATTTTATAATTGTCTAGTTTCCCTGAAAATCAATTGCACATCAAATCATTGTTGTACAACCAATTCTTATGTCAACATTTCAAAATTTACCATGTTGGCGAACTTGAACTCTTTTTTAAAATTAGCTTTACCACATAAAAAGCCCTTCAACTTAAAATTCATCAAATTTGGCCAAAAATTATTGTAGTATTTTCAAATAGTAATTCCAATATGACGAGCATAAGCACAATATAACTCATATGCTTCTTATTCAATGAGTACAACGGTACAAATCGGTCTACAATTGGATCATTACAAATATCTCCAAGACCGCCAAACTGTACAAAAGAAAATACTAAGCTTAAACTCTTTAAATCTCATTTTATCAGAAGTAGAATGATTTTCTAATTAGTGAGAGGACTGGAAATATTTTATGCTCTATTGGGATATATTTAGATTTCAAACTATTTACATATCAACCTTTGTTAGAGTTTTCAAAATAAGGCTTTGTTATCTTTCAAAAAAATTAATCTAATGTAATTTTGTTTTTTTCCTTCGACTTTAATTTTGCCAAGTTACTACTCTGATAGTCGTCTGCATTTTACCAATTAAAGTAAAATGTCAATTATTTTAATCAATCTTAAAATTTGACATTATTTTCCACTTCATCAAATATAGATGCTTCTAATTTTTGGGTTTTTATTGAAGCCAAGTGAATGCATGATTGCAAATACATTGCATGTAATGAAATATTTTTAAGAATATGAGAATGGTAATAAGAAAAGATGGAAGAAAAAGAAACAATGATTTTAATAATGCTTTATTAAATAAACTTTCATGTTACTATGGGTTTTGGGTGAATCACTTTAGTTATAAGCATTTATTGTATAATTGTTGTTTTGTTAACCTTCTTTTAGTTGCACACTTACACTTACCCCTTACGTATTTTTTTTTCTCTTGCAAAATTGATTATATTAGAAAAATAATATTTATTTAACAATTAAATGCAATTGCATGAATTTTTTTTATTGGAGCTTTAAAGATTTATGATCAACCATTTTTTACAATTAAATGTAATATGCATAAAAACAACTAATTACGATTAAATTTCAAGAGAATATTGCTTTAATTTTTTATTTTAAATATAATTTTCAAATTAATTTGAATATTTCTTTTGGAATTGCACCCTTATATGTCATTGAACTCTCATCTATTAATATTAAAAGGACAAGATATGTTTTGAATTAGGACTAGCTAAACTTTTTTGTCGTATTTAATCTTATAATTGATAACTCTAATTTCCTAAATTTTCTTGCAGAAATCTCAACAAAAAAAAAAATTAAATTAATAGAAAGGGAAAAATAATTATTACCACTCATATATTAAGATACTTTGTTCAAGAAGTATAATGTATTCTTCTTTTGACACGAAAACAATAAATAGAAAAATAACAAAAACTTCACAAAAACAACAATCGAATAATAACACAATCACAACACCACTAAAAACCACCACAATCAAAACACAATAACACCACTGTAACACCCTATTAACACCTCAATATTATTATAAAAATACTGCAATAGCACCGCAATAACACCTCAAAAATACCTCAATAACAAATAAATAATACAACAAGAATATCAGAATAACACTAATAAAATTGCAATGCCACCTGTCGAATACTACCACATAGTTGCCATAATATCATTAAAATAACACCACAATAAAACCATAATAACATGTGAATAATACCATACTAATACCTCAATAAAACCATAATAACACTTTGATAACACCAATCGAATAACACCACAGAACCACCACCATATCAGTCAAATAACATCCAAATAACAGGTCGCCAACATTTCAATAACACCATAATAATACCGCAGTAACACCTCAATAACATCACAAAAATACTATAATAATACCACAATAAAACTCAATAATACTCTAATAACACCGGAATAATTACATAATAATAAAGAAATAACACCATAATAGAACTCCTATAACACCAATCGAATACCACCACAGAGCCGTCTCAATACCACAAAAATAACACTACAATAAAATTTCAATAACACCTAAATAATATCACAATAATACCGCAACAACACCGTAATAACACCGACGAATAATACCACAAAATCGTCACAATACCACTCATATAACACCATAACAACACTTCAATAAAACCACACAAATATCAAAATAACACCATAAAAATACACTTCAAAAATACCTCAATAACACCACAAAAATATTTCAATGACACCATATAAATACCACAATAATACCAGAAATTAATGTCAAAATTTCAAATGCAGTTAAACTTACCTCCATTTCAAACTTCTCAGTATTATTTTCAATCTATCACCTTCATTTTAAATATCTCGTCATTATTTTCAGATTCCATCACCTTCATTTTAAACTTCTCATTGTTCTTTACGGATTCCATTATCAATATTTTTCGTCCGAAGAGTGAAAGTAACTGAGAAAATTGCCCAGCAAAACTCTACCCAATGAAGTTAGAAGAAATTAGAGATTTATTTGGAGGGAAGGATTTTATTTTCGACAAAATTGATTGAATCAAACCGTGTTATGCATTAAAATATAAAATTTTTCATATTTTATTCAATAGATCCGTCATTTATAAGTGATTAAATTTCATTAAATTCCCAATGTAATATTTTTTTTCCGCACAAGGTCCTTTTTTTTATTATCCTTCAATAAATATAGTTAAGTAACCCCGGAACTTCAGAGTAAGTGATCGATATCTCACTCCTAGACACGCAATAAATCGATGACTTGATATGGATGAGTTTGGCCAGCGGATTTCATCGACATCCCCTCAGATCGGATCTCTCTCCTATTACCGTATCTTTCTCTTCTCTGAATTCATTGACAAAGTTGTTCTAGTGAATCTGCTGCTGCTGCTGCTGCTGCTGCTGGTTCTGCTACCCCCGACGCTTGTTTTCCTTACCTACTTTTCAAGCTCCCGCCGCTTACACCGAGAACAGCAAAAACCTGCCATCCATTGGTGTTTTAATACTGATGCAGCGTCGATTCTATAAATCTTGAAAAGTGCTGCTATCCAACCATAACATTTGAACAAGCAAGAAGTTCGATTTTTGCATTTTGAAGATCGTTCTTTGGTTCTTGATGTTCACGGTTCGATGCCTTTCTAGATGGTAGATCTTTCGCGGCTGTTGAGAGATGGAGGCCGGGAGGGGTTTCCTCAACGTGGACGATCTCCATTTGGATCCAAAGTGGCTGATCGATCCAAAGCTGCTCTTTGTCGGCCCCAGGATTGGGGAGGGTGCCCACGGCAAGGTCTACGAGGGGAAGTAGGTTTTGTGACGGGGTTCTGCTCTTAAATCCCAGTTTCTTTGGCCAGCTGATTTCTTGATCTCGCCTTCTTTTTCTGTAGGTATAAGAACCAGAATGTTGCAGTAAAGATTGTGCAGAGAGGGGATACAGCAGAGGAAGCGGGGAAGAGGGAGGCCAGGTTCATGCGGGAGGTGAACCTCCTGTCCAGAGTTCAGCACAAGAATCTTGTGAAGGTTTGGGCTTTGCAATTTGAGAGTTAATGGATTCAATTTAGGGATTTGGATGATTTGCTGTGGAAATTGTGTTAATGTGCAGTTCATCGGAGCTTGCAAGGAACCTGTTATGGTTGTGGTGACTGAACTCGTGCTGGGGGGATCGCTCAGGAAGTATCTGATCAACCTGAGACCACGGAGCTTGGATAGACGTGTTGCTGTCGGGTTTGCGCTGGATATTGCAAGGGCAATGGAGTGTTTGCACTCACATGGAATAATTCATCGTGATTTGAAGCCTGGTAAGCTTCAACCCTTTGAATTTATAGTCCATGTGTAGAGAATTGAGCTATCTGGCTTGTGATATGTTTGAAATAGTTCCGTTAGATGTGCTGATCTATGTGACATGCGACTGTAGGAGTTCGGTTTTTTCTCCTAATATTTTGAAATTTGTTCACGGAAGAGCATGATTCAAACCAAGTGGTAATGTTCGTGGAATTGGCTTTGCAATTTGATGTTGTTCTTCTATCTAATGGCTTGCTATCTTTCTATGGTGATTCTTACCTTCGCTTACTTCCTTAAGTGGGCTCAAATTTTTGTATAGATTTGCATTTAGTGGATTCAGCGTGGTCTACTTTGAAGGGTTTTTATATTTATTTGCACGGGAGTTTATTATCTGTTTCATATGAAAATATTAGGGAAGAAAAGTTAAAATAATGGTTTGTATGCTATTATACATATTTATCAAATCATCGCCACAGTTTACCATAAAAATTCAATATAGAGCCAATACTCATTTGGATTTCTAAACTTTTTTTTAGAAGTTCTAATTAGTGACTGACCTGTGATCTGGTAGCCTCCGCTTTCTCTTGGTTTTATTGCCAGAGTGATAGTTTTTTATTTTGTGGAATGTAATTGGCATGTTTATATTAACTTGTCACAAGCTTGTCAAAATAAGAGCATCTCATGCTTTAAGTTTGTCTCTTATTAGGTGCCTAGGAGATTAAGCAATAAGAGCTGAATTGCCTATGTGGCCAAACTGGAAAGGGTTGCCTTATGGATCAGTGTTTCAGCAATTTCACAACCTGACACCGCTTCATGATTGCAGTCTACACAGAGTGCGTTTTACCAGTTAGGTGTTGTTTGTGAGAAATGGAGAGGGAGTGTAGAGTGAGTGAGATAAAAATTTATAATTTTTAGCATTAGTGCCGTGAGTTACAAATTAGATTCAGTCAATAAGATTATTTCTAGGAGTTGTATTGATAGGTAGTATGGTAATCACGTTATAACTAACTAATATTTTAACTTATTAGTATATGCGAATGTGTTAAGCGGATGATTATTCTATAAGAGTACAGTTTCAAGTCATAACATTAATTTGTCTAAATAAGCATTATAAGTTGCAATTGATTAGATGTTTAAATTATATGTTTTGAAGCTATTTAGATGGCATGGTTTCAAAGTAGCTATTAAATTAAGATTAAAATGCTATCTTTGAATTCTTGTATGTTTGTTTTAATATTATTTAGCCATTATATCTAGTATGATAGCTACATACCAATAGATTTGCCTGACATTTTTTTGTTATTCATAATTTTAATTATTATATCTTGTCTGATATCATGATGCTACATGCTTATAGATTTGAGTGACATCTAAATATCATTGAAATAGGCATAAATAACATATATCACTTGTTATTTAATTATGCCACCAAATCAAATAATTGACATCTCCTAATAACATAATATTGCATAGCAGATGTCAATGAACCAACCAACTTCTAATGATAGTTTTAATTATCTATTATGGTTTGTTTGGGGCAGCTGCAGCTTATTAATAAGCTACTGATAAGCATCTAATCCAGATAAATTTATTGACTGTTTTGTTTGTTCTGTGGGAAAATAGCTATTTTACAGTTGTTTCTGGATAAATCACAATTGTGCCCCAATGCAATAATATTGTTTGTAACAGAACTGCCGTAACAATATTTTTGATACTTGAGATGCAAAAAATCACTTCAGAACAATACAAAAAATAAGATGCACGCCTCACTTAACAGTGAGTATCAAGATTGCTAGAAAAAGAAAAAAAACTAATAAAATTACAATAAAAAATATGATAATAATAATTTTGAAATGCAGACGACGTATGCCACGAGCTACGTCATCCTCTAGGGATACCATCCAACTCCGATCATTATTGACAGGGGAAACTGTCGGATTGTTTGCTCACAGGAAGAAGCCACACTTCTCCTTGATGTCTCTCGGGCATCTGTAGAACTCTCCCGTAGTTATGTTGATGTTAGTACGGAAGTCTGTAGTTTGCAGTGACAGAGCACACGTCGGGACATTCCTGAAATCCTGGAGCTCATCTTTTCTGAATGATTCAAAAAACAATCCATTAGTCATAATAGAAGTTGAGATTGCTAAAATAAGTAATTAATTACAATTGTTTGCAGGTTTGAGGTCTTAGGGAACACAATATACCAACCAACGAATCTGTTATTACAAGAAGACAACAAACCTTATAAAAAAATTTATAATGGTTGGATAACAAAATATTACAAGAAGACAACACGAGCTTAATATTAAGTGAACTAAAAACAACCAATCTTAAGTTCACTTAATATTAAGCTCATGTGTGTCACTCAATCTTAAAATTTATACATTGCATATCACAAAGACAATGAATCTTTAGTTCACTTAATATTAAGCTCGTGTGTGTCACATATGCATATCACAAAAAAAAAACCATTAAGAAGTTTCTCAAAAACCTCGACATCGAAAAGAAGAGAGGAACTTGGTTGCCTTTATCGGATTACACATGTAACACCAACCAACAACGACTGGTAGGTCATACAGGAGAACTCACAAGGTCGAATGTCTCATCATAAACCTCACAAACCCACAAAAAAATAAAAAGGAATCGAAAAAGGAGAAAAAACAATTACAAACAACATAGAACTTATAATATCTAAAATATCAATAATCGATGAAACATAAAATAAACATGAATTTTATAAACTGACAAAAGCAGTAATCAATTACGATTTTGTGCGGACGTGATGTCTGAAAAAACTAAGTACACCAACCCCACTGAACTTGTCATAACAAGATGACAAAAATCCTTAAAAAATAGGGGTTGTTGGTTGCCTTTAACTAACTTAATACCAAGTTCCTATGTGTCACATATGCATACCACTAAAAAAAAAAACCATTCAGAAGTACCTCAAATACCCGAGCATCAAAAATAAAAGAGAAACTTGATTGACTTTATCAGAATTTCACATGTGACACCAACCAACAATGACTAACAGACCATCCAGAAGTATATCAAAAACCCAAGTATTGAAAAGGAAAGAGAAACTTAGTTACTTTTATCATGATTTCACATGACACAAAGTAACAGTAATTAACAAACTATCCAGAAGAACCCACAAGCTTGAAGGTTTCATCATAGACCACACAAACTCACACAATAAGTACGAAAATGAATCGAAAAAGGAGAAAAAACAAATACAAACAGCGTAAAACATTCAATATCTAAAATATTAATTATACGTGGAACATAAAATAAACATGAATATGATAAAATAAATAAGAATCGTCTAATCAACATCAAACAATGACGTCAGTAATCCATTCTTGCAACTTAACTATTTTTGCTGCACTTTTATCATCCTGAATGTAATCTTCTTGTGAATCTACCTCTGGCTTTGGTATGGATTGGCCAACTTGAAATTCAAATACTTGATCATTCATATGTGTTTCGTCAATCGCTCCAATACAGTTCTGTCAGATAAATAAAGCTGTAATAGTCACGCAAGACAGTTAGACGTCTAAATGAAATATGCTAAAAAAAATTATCTTAAAAATGACATATACCGCGGGTCATTTGTAATCATTGTTGGAGTTGTCTTGAATGTTAGATCCTCTGACTTAATAATCTTTGCCGACAAAATGACGAGCTTCCAAATCTACTATAAAATATATGCTAATTGTCTCAATTGAATGTCGGAATCGCTCCATTGCTCCCCTTATTGATTCTTTATGTGATAAAATGTATATGGTTATTTTTAACATTTCTCTTGATGTCATTCTTAAGCACCCACAGCCACCTCCTCTACACACCCACGACCGACTAACAGCCACCACCCCTATACACCCCCCCTATACATCCACAGCCAACACCACCACCAACACACACCCAACACACACCCACTACCATTACTGCACTCCCACAACCACCTCCTCCACCACCTCCACCACCAGCCAACCCAACACACATTCAACCACCACCAACACACCCACAGCCACCTCTCCTGCACACCCACAGCCCACCCACAACCACCTTCTCTACACACTTCTACCACACACCCGCACCCGCACTACACACCCACACTCACACACTCACAACTACCACCTCTACCACCAGCCACCCCAACACACACTCAATCACAACCAACACACCCACAACCCAGTGACAGTCACCTCGCCTACACACTAACAGTCAACACCACCACCAACACACACTTAATACACACCTACCACCACCACTACATACCCACAGTCATGTACCCACAACCATCACCTTCGCCACCAGCCACCCCAACAACCACCTAACCACCACCAACACACCCACAACCGCCTCCTTTACACACCCACAACCCACTAGCAACCACCTCCCCTACACACCCACAGGCCACTAACAACCTGGATGATATACATGAAGTCACAAAGAATGGTGATCCAACCATCATTATATCCCAGAAAAACTCTTCAAGTATGACAGGACTGTCTCATAACAATCATCATAACTACCATCATACTTAACACACTTCTTCCATCAAATTTGATTAGTTTAGTAAAAATCTAAGGAACCCCTACCATGCGGATGAACAAGAAATTATCTCTAGAGCAGGTAATCAATCCCCTGATGTTTCTTAAAGGTTCATTCGTACCCAAAAAAAATCCTTCCTCTAGCCTCATCCAATTTCATTTAGAGTTCAGTGAAAGAATAATTCACCCAACAAGCATGAACAACAAATGTGCCAAGTACACCAAAGCACCCGAAACAATGCTATTGAAGAAATCAAGCACCCTTATTTCATCCATTCTTCAAATTCTTAGTAAAACATTCAAAACCAACCTCAAAAACCCCATGAATAGAGAAATCCAAAAAAACATATGAAGAAAGCCATTCCATCAAAAATCACCACAGGATTAACTACAAAAATATCTACAAATGAAGCACCCTCTTCCATCCATTTGTCAGATTCAAGATAAAACAAAGAAAAATA